CTAATGCACTTGTCCCTAATTTTCAAATATTTAAAATAAATTTAACATCTGAAAAATACTTTCTAATCCAATACTAGGATTATTATGCTAAGTTAAATATCATATTTTCTATTTGGATCTGGATTTAGGAAGACATCAGTATGCCCCTTAGATCATATAAAAAGACAATAGTCAGTAAAGCACTGTATGTTTATCCATATGTGCATCACACAAAGAAAGACATTTGGCAAGATCTAACAAGAAATCAGAAGGATGATAACTGGAGTAATGAACATGACAAAACTGGCAAATTTTGCAGTGTGAGAAAGCCCAACAAATTTGCTATAAAAGAAAGTAAGTGCCTCTGTTGAACTGTTACCATGCATCACATTCTCTCCTGTGGTTAAAAGTACATGTCAACTCACAAACTCATATTCATATAATATCCTGAAACATTTCAAGTGCCATAAGAGGTAGATTTGTTTAAATGAATTAAGAACACCCAAGATCAGCTTCAGACTGTAATGTCCTTAGCTGAAATTACATTTTTCAGGAATCCATCATTTCTGCTAAACTAACTTGGAATGCTATTGCTGGTAAGTACATCAAAGGACTCTTCCTTTTCAATACAACAGTTAGCTCATCAGGGTGTTGTCTGAGTTAGGCTGTGTGTGTGTGTGAACAAACAAGCATCTCTGACTGTTCATGGACGAGGGCAGTTAACTCACCCATCATTGTTTCACTGAGAAGCTGGCATCACCTCTGTCCCTTTCATGTTCCCCCAGCACCAGTAAGAGAAGAGGTCTGTCCTTATTCACACTCTGAAAAAAGTCAGTAAAACTCCTTAATGCCCCCTAAATTTGCTGCCTGCAAATGCAGGTAGCAAATTTAAGCAGGATTGCTTACTGCACGGTAATGAACATGTAGACATGACTCAGGAGCAAGTTTGCTCCCTGGTCTGCCCTTCCACTAAGGGGTTGGCTTCAGGCTAGCCCCAGGGCTCTGGCCTAAGAGCCTCTCCTGCCCCAGGGCTGGGTTGCTACAGGCTTTTAAAGCCTGTAGCAAGCCCTGGGCCACACCAGAAGGGAGCCTGAGGGTGCTCCAGGCTGTTTCCCCTGGGCAGGCTGCAGCCTAGCTTTGCCAGCCTGCCTGCACCCCAGCACTGCCGCCTGGCACCACAGTGCTGAACAGCTTCCAGGACAGCACTGCCTAGGCCACCAGGGTGCTGCAGGCTGATGCAGCCTCTGGCCAGGTCTGTTACCCCACAGGCACAGCTGCAGGCAGCTTCTGGCCAGAGGGCTGGTGCCACCTGCCCACAGCCCACCCCCAGCAATCTGTCCTGTGCCTGCAGGTGCTGTGGGGCATTGCCTCTGCTGTACAATTGCCAGTCCTGTGCTGTGCCTCTATGCTGGGTGCTGCAGGCAGCTGACCAGGCCCAGAAGAATATGGACAGCCATACGAGGGCCCAGAGAACTGGCATGGATCACTGTGGAGAACATTGGATCACTGTGACCAACCACAATTATTGGCCTGGCAGTGCCTGTAAGTCCAGGCCCTTTATGTGGCAACTGACACTCAACCTTACGCCTTGGGACCCAGTCTGCAGCTGTGCTGTCTATAGCAGCATGGGCAGTCTGACTGAGCCGCTGCCTTGGCCTCGCATTTTCAGTAATATGTCACTGGAGGAGGGCCCCTCAGGCATCCAGCACCCTGTTCTGCCAAGTTCCCTGGCTGTAGTCTCCACCAGCAGCTCAGGGAGCCCTGGCCAGCACCTGCCTCACCAACTCCTCAGCTCCACAGCCAGCCACAAGGCAGGGCTGGCCATGACACCACCAACCACCAGCAGTACCAGCTCCTCCTTGAGGGCAGGCCAAGCCGGATGTCTGCAGAGTGCATCCCACCATCGGATAGATCAGAGCCACACACCATCACCGACAGCCAGGACAGAGCAGCCACACCAGCCCTGGCCACGTGGTAAGACCCACACTGGGGGGAGGGCCCTCCCTGCCCTAACCCCAGCTCCTGCCCCCCCATCCCTACCCATCCCACCCACACTCCCCTGGCCCCAGATTTCCTCCAGAGAGCACACAGGGAGGCAGGAGATAGTGAAGAACTTTACTGAGCAACCTGTGCTCCCACAGCTAAGTGGGCACAGGCCTCTCACATGCTGAGGAACACAATGTTGGTGGTGATAGCCTCTTTGGCTGTGGGGGGCAGGGACATGTAGCATTGCCACATTAGCCCTCAAGGCAGCAGCAGAGGTTGTAGGAAAACCCAGACTTGCCCCCTGCACTGTTGTAGTTCAGGGTCCCATATCAGGTGCACAGGTGCACCCAGGGAAACATGACCATCAGCAGCAGCAGGATGTATTGGGTCAGGCTCCCCTTGATCTGCACAAACAGCTCCTTGTGCACTGCCCATGATGTGCAGCAGAGGCATGCTCAGGACACAGTACCAGTGCACCAGGGGGCTGGCTCCGAGGTGCCTCCCCAGAGAGGCCCCCAATGGGGAGGACATGGGTGTGGGCTGCTCCTTATTCCAGTTTTTTGGGAGCCTCACACCCGCCAAGACCAGGCACTATGGGCTGGGTGGCAGCACAGGACCATGACTGGCCTGCAAAAGCAGAAGTGGGGGAGTGGGGTCTGAAGCTGTGGCAGCAGGTGCTGCTAGGAGCCTGGCCTGTCTCAGTCTGGGAATGGGATGAGGGAGGTAGGCTGTCTGCAGCCAGCATTCAGAGGTCCACTGGTCCCAGGACAAGGGTCTTGGCAGGTGACTGCCTGGGGCCAGACCTGTCTGACTGACTTACCATGGTCCCTGGGCACCTGTTCATACCTGATCTCCAATCTAAGGCCAGGCAGCACACGGCCTCTGGTACAGAACATCTCATCTGAGAAATGTTGCAAACTCTCACAAACCACTTTTGTCTTATGGCTCCACAGGTGCTGCAGCTGCACACAGGGGAGAGGCCACCCTTGGCAGCTGGGATACAGCCTCAGGGTCACTGCCGCCCACAGTCGGGGCTTTGTGGATGTGCCAGCTCCACCAGAGACAGATGCAGGACCACACTGTCACAGACTAACAGAAGTTTAGGGCTGGAAGCGACCTTGTGAGATCATTGAGCCCAGCCCCCCCTGCTCTGGGCAGGAAAGCCTGCTGTCTAGACATCCTTCTTGAAGTGTGGTGCCCAGAACTGGATGTCTTCTGCAGCAGCTGGTGGTGGAATCAGAGGCCCAGCTGGAGAAGTCATGGGCCTTGGAGGCAGAGCTAAGGAATGCCTGAAAGATGTGGTCTGATTCAACTCTGATTTGACCAGATAACCACCATTTCTCACAAAGCATCTCCTAGTAAATTTTGCAGAGTAAATTGCCAATTCCAACATTCCATTTGCTTGGGAAATAGTTTCCTAAGGGTTTGTTATCAATGTACTTTTGTGATGAACTTCCCTGGTTCAGCATTCAATTGCTTTTCCATCTATTGGAAATGGAGCCTGTAAAAATGGACTGGATAAATGTGGCCAGTGTCACTTAAGAGTCTTAAAGTACTTTCCTTCCTGAAATATTGATTCTAACCTTTGAAGGGTTAAACCTTATAAGAAATAGAGGCTTTCTTGTATATGGCAAACCTTCTGTGAAACTGTATGCTCCCATGTATGTGTACAATCCCTACAGCTGTGAGAGAAAACATCTAACTGAATGTGCATGTATCCTGTGTATATACACATCTGCAGCAGGTACAAATGGAAGTGACATAGGAATACACATGGGTGTGTTCATGCAAACAAAACTCTTGTTTGTAAGAATCTGGCCCTATAATATAATTGTCTGTGAATAACACTGACAGTGTTTCAAAGAGAAAAGCTAATTAAATGAATTGCAGCACAACTGCTATAGACATCTGACATATAAGAGGACTGTGATTTTTCGTTAACTACATATAGGGGATCAACCATGTCATAGGGAAACATACTACACCAGATCATGGCTTATGCCTACACTGATAAAAGAAAGAACTGCATGTAGAAAAAACACAGTATGATCCTTTTTCAATAATGTTGACACTTGCATGCACCCATCACTCATGTTACAATGACTAAGGTTTGTCAACAGCAGCAGTGTTTTAACTCTTTATGAATGATGGGAGGAGAAAAAAAAATCTTACTGACTGACTGAAAACCCCTTTAAAAACACCTTAGATGACCTACTATTACTATAATATATATGTAAACTTTAAAATTACAAATAACATTTTAAAATTGCATATTTTAAAATCCATTCTTCCTTTACAAGCCTGAAAAGTTGTGAGTTCAAGATCTCATTTCCTAAAAACAAGTAATTATATCACTAAAGCCTGAAGCAGGACCAAGATGGGAACTTTCAAGGGAAGCACAAAGCTCTGTACTTGGCATATAAATAGCTTCTTAAGGTCTTCTTTAAATTGACCTTTGTTAAGAAAAGAGCTCATCTACTAAGAGAAGGCAGAGGTTGTGCTAATCAAAAGTGAAACTGGAACACATAAAGAAGCTTTGCAACAGCAATGATGAGTTCTTAATTTAAAATTATAAGTACATCATCTGCTTTCTCACTTGAGGTACTTACAGATTCAGATTTAGGAAAGAGATGGTACAAGTTAGAAATTGAATAATGATTAGGAATGGCATAAACAACCTTCAAGAAGGCACAGAATCTATCCTAGGGAGTTACAGAATCCTTCAAAAAACTGTTTATCTTGAACTAAAGAGCCTTTCATTTCAGTCACCAGTTCACTTATGATGTGGAAAAGTAGTAACTGAAAGCTAATATCACTGCAGGGGTTTGGAGTCGCAAGTAAAATAAGGTGTTGGTCCAAAAAGTATTTTAAATGCAGATACATTTTCATATTCCAATAAACATTGTCATTTGATGCTGGCTAAGTGACAGAATGACATTAAGATAACCACACGAAACCAGCTAAACTAAGAAAAAAGGCTATTTTTTCAGTCTATAAATAATTATTTGATGCAATACAGAGCAGAGTAGAAATACCTTCTGCATCCTTTTTTGTCCAATTATTCCACAGTTCTGTGGTGAGTGATGAAATGGTAATAGCTGCCTCTTCACTCAATGCCACTGTTGCTGTATAATACAAATACATACATACTTTAACACTTAGCATATCTACACATAAGACTTATGCTATCTGTACAAACAAGTCTGCTTAATGCTGTTAAGATGTACTAAATTTAAATAATGAGAGTTCTTTGTCATGTTTTTCCCTCCTTAAACTCCTTTTCCACAGCTTTAGTTGTTGTTTACTACTTGTAAACTCGCAAAATGCCAATCCATCCTTTTATATACCCTATTGTAATCATCATGTATTGGACATAGCTGGATATTTGCAGTGTGATATACAAAACATGTCTATTTACTGATAGGTAGCCATTCTTTTTTAAAAACAAAACAAAACCTAATTAATCTAAATTTAAAGCATGTCTTCTAAAAAATCAGCAAAGTCAGAAAGCATGCTGAAAATAATTTTGCTTTGGAATAATTTAAGCTTTTTTGGATTTTTTTCACTGCTTGTTACAAAATACTACTTTTGAACAAATATATCATTCAAAATGATCTTACATCCATGAGAAACAAGAACAAACACCCAACAAACCTACCTTTTAGCAAAATATATATTAGCACTCCAAATGCCATAGCTAGCAGCAGCTTAACAACCCTTTTCCTTTCTTCTATCACGCAGCTAGGTAGTTCTGCTTATCTGTGCTCCCGTGTCTTTTATGCACTTATATACCATGAAGCGTCATCTGTTCTTACCAATGAAAAAAAAAGTGCAACTGGCAATGACCTAGAGCCTCAGGGAAACCACATGTTTATTTAGGAAACAACCATTGTCTGACAATGGGAATAAGCTTTATGTTGAAGTACCTGCTTCCTGTTACCTGTGGGCATGATTGTTTATGCAAGGATGCTATTTTCTGGAGAAATTTAGGATTTGTCAGAGTAGAGAAATAAGACGCAGAAACGCAGAAGTTGGTGAAACTGAATGTATCCACATGCTGTAAACATATTTCCTATGTGAATTGCATCTTGTTATACTACTTTTAGAGCGGAGGGCTGAGTCAGTGTTTAAAGCATTGGCACAGGATTTTGGAGAGAGAGCTCCAGCTTTTGATTGCATCATAGATTTCTTCTGTGACCCTGGGAATATCATTTAACCTTACTGTGCCTGTAATACTGTGAAAAGAAATATTTTAAAGACTATGAGGTATTCAATACCAGAGTAAAGGGGATGTTATGTTAATTCAGGCTGGTGGGTAATAGCAAGTGTGCTTGGGATGAAGTGAACTTAGGTTCATGAAAGCTTGTACTTTCTCTCTATGTATATCTCATTTAGTTAGTCTATAAAGGTACATATCTACACTGTTTTCTGACTGCCTTCAGACTAACCAGGCTAACTACCTCCCTCTGGTCTATGGGAAACCAGACTTCACTGTGACTGGTGGGCATGGTAGACAACTTTTATTTGGGCTAAATGACTAAATGGGCTAAGTTAAATATCTTTTTACTTGGTGATAGCTGAAACAATGGCAGGGCCAGTGGCCCTGTGCAAGGCCTGGGCAGAGGCTGAGCCATGTGTGTCAAAGGGCTTCCCTAGAACCCAACCAAACAAATGAGGGCTGAGACACTGAGCGCACCTACACGAGATGCTAAATGTGCAGTAGACAAATTCTACTGCACATTAGTGTGTCACAGCAAAAGCCGTGCTAATACACTAATGCCCAGTAGAATTAGTTCACTGCACATTCACATTACCAAAGAGGTACCACTGGTGCTACTGTTCAGTAGCATTGGTTATGGTGCATTCAGTTAGTACCTGTTATTACAGCTACTAAACTTAATACACAGTAACTATGGCACATTAATGCACATGTAGATGTGCCTACTTTGGAGGTATCTGTGTCGGTGTGGGAAGAAATGAAAAGCCAGAAAACATAGTAGCATGACCCAGGCGGGAGGCCAAAGAGTGCTTCTTTTGAGGCAGAGTACTGGCTGGAAAGACAGTCTTGGAAATTATTGGCAAGGAGACTGCCTCCTTCTGTTTGTTTGTACTATATTGAGCAGGACTTTTTGAATAACTTGTGGCACACCTATACTTTTATGGGGTTTCAACTTGTGTACTGTTTGGATAGTTGGTGTTGTTTTCTACATGAGTGGGTAACCTTGACAAGACATTACAGTCCAGGAGGATTATTGGATAAAGTGCATTTTGCTTTTCATACACACAATGGAGAATTAATCCTACCCATATCCACAACAGGTACATCCCCACAAGTGAACACATGCAGTTTGTGGGACTGCAAAACCATCTGCAGTGCCACAAATTGCACATACTGCATATGCACATTTGCCACAATGCTAATTAGCATCACAGCATTTTTTGGACAAAAAACAGACTCTCCTCCCCCCCCCCAACAAACAGA